TGATAATCAGGTTGCTATTAATATAGCTCATAATCCGGTACAGCATGACAGAACTAAGCATATCGAAGTCGATCGACATTTTGTCAGAGAAAGGGTTTCGTCTCAAGAAGTGCATCTCCCGTATATCACCTCCAGCATGCAGCTCGCAAATCTTCTCACCAAGGTTGTTCCAAGGAAGAAATTAGAGGCATATGCAAGTTGGGAATGACAAATATCTATTCCCAACTTGAGGGGGAGTGTAGAGAACACTGATGTGGACCCCACTGCTGTGGTCCCCACTGTGTTCGTATGGCAGCATAGCATGTGTTTTTTTGTTAGTTGTGTCAATGTTAGTTGGTAGTTATTTYAGTTTGTTGTTACAGCTTGTTATTTCAGCTTTTTTATTAGTTTATTTGCCATATAAGCAATAAGGGCAATTCAGCGCTTTTACAATTAGTCAACAAATATAAATATTAAGAGTGGGTCGGCAGATCACTATGATTGACCCTCTCTCTCTTTTCTAAAACCCTTCGTGTGCTTCTTCTTTTCTCCCTCTCTTCTTCTTCTTTTCTTCTGAAATCTTTCTTTTTGCTTTCGAATTCAAGACTGGTAGTCTTGATCGACTACTATTTCTATGTCCTTAACCAGCCATCTGAATTTTCTCCTTTCATTGTTGTAGTTCCATAAACCAGCATTGTCTTCTTGCAGCCACCCTACCACCACCTCTGAATCCCCTTCAATTGCAAGCCTTCTAATGTTCATATACTTTGCTCTTTGGGCACCTCCCAAGACTGCAAAGATAATCATTGTTACTATTTGTGGTTTGCAATCTGATAAACACTTGTCTTCTGTTTGTGATTTTCTTTCTTATCATGGTATACAATGCCATACTTCTTGTTCTTATATCCTACAACAGAACAGTGTAGCAGAATGGAAAAACTGACACCTCTTGGAATTTACCAAGGCTCCCCTCCTTCAAATTCCAGTTCCAAAAACATATTAGAGATATTTTGTTTTTACCGCATGCTTCCTAATCAATAGGATGCCCTCTTCTATTCTTGATGATAATGATCCTTACAATGTTCTTGACTTCTTGTTCTGTTTCCAAATGGTCATCTTTTTTTCTCTTACTCCTCACACATTTGGTTGTGTTTGCTTTGTTCATCAATTTGATTCTAAAATCAACAAATTTGATCCCCAACTGTGAAATGTGTCTTTCTTTGTTATTCTAAGACTCAAAAGGGTATAAATGTATAACCCTATTACACAAAGTCATTACATCTCTACTGATATGACTTCCGTTGAGTACACTTCTTATTTTTCTCCTTCTCCTAGTGCTTCTAATATCCCTCTTCCTGTCTATTTTACCTCTTAAGCCACCCATCACTCAAATCTACACTTGACAAACTCCAACTCAAGATCCACCATCAACTACTGAGATGTTTGATAGTTCTGGAGCTTCTTTAAACCTTTACCTTCCCCATCACCTTGAGAAAGGGGGTAAGCATTCTTCTAGGCATCCTATTAGTAATTTTGTTTCTTACTCCTCTTTATCTCCTTTTGTCCAATTTTTTATCATAGCTTGTCTGTCATTTCTATCCCCAAGTCTGTATAGGAGGCCCKGTCCGACTCTGGTTAGAGGACAGCTCTGGAAGAGGAAATACCGGCCCTACATCTTAATGATACTTGGGCATTAGTATATTTTCTCCTTRGTAAGAAACTTGTCAGATGTCGGTTGGTGTACACTATTATGTATTTACCTAATGGCTCTATCGAGAGATTTAAGGCTCAACTTGTTAAAAAGGTCTTTACTTAAACTTACAGAGTTGATTTTATTGATACTTTTTCTCCAGTCGCTAAGATCTCATCAATTAGAATTAGATCGCGCCTCTCCATGGGATGTTGTAAGAAATTACAATTCTAAATCAGTTTCTGAATTAATAAAATTTCTATAACTCATCATTAAAAAAAAAAAAGATCTCATCAATTAGAATTGTGCTGTTTCCTGCTTCTTTTCACTGGCCACTTTATTAGTTGGATGTAAAGAATGGATTCTTACATGGTGAATACATGAGGATGTGTATATGGAGCAAACTGGGGCTATATAATATATACTCTCCAGCTAGAGGGGGAGGTTTAATGGAATGGTCAGCTGCAGTATTTTCTTAGTATTCTCTCTTTGTCATGCTTATCCCTCTCCCATAGATCTTTTTTCTCCTATTTAAATTATGTGAGACAGGGTTAGTTAAGTTATTTATGTAATAATTTTCTTTTATGTTACAACTTTTATGAGGAAAATCTGGAAGTTCATGTACAATTTACTAATGGGGGCTATTATTGTAATTTGCCTCTTCTAATCAAGGGTGAATGGTGAATGTAAATATGTGTTGGCCCATTGGGAGACTAACCATTTCTCTCCAACCGGCAGCTAGGTTTTCCTCTCTAAAACTGTGCTGCTCTATCTTTCCTCTCTTTTCTGTTTTATACTATTAATTTCTGCTCACAGCTACAATCGGCACAATTAGAAAATGAAAGGAGAAGAAATGTAGCCCAACGACCAATACAAAAGATCCTAAAACCCAAAGAAAAAAGGCAAGCATATACAGTAAAAAGAGGGATGTAGAAGAAAAGGAAAATAAGCACCAGCTAAAAAAATAGCTTGGTATGGACCATGGATGAATCATAATACAAATCAGACCTCCTTACACTGACCCTTAGCCAAGGTATCAGCTAAAGAGTTAGCCAACCCCAAAATCAATCTGAGTGAGTTGCTTGCTCTGGGAAACAAATGTTTTGAGTACTATTTTTACTCTGCATACAATAACTTTATGCACATTTGTTTCTTATTACCCAACATTCTGCTTCAAAAAGCATGATTAATGATAGTTTGAAATTCCATTTGTTTGAGGCTTTGAGCAGTTCATTTCATTAGCACTATAAGAAGCTCTAAAGAACCACCAAAGCAAGCAGATAAATTTTAAGGTTACTTTTTCATATTCACAACTAGCAGCAAAAGACTAACCTTCCAGGAAGAGAGTTCAAATCCCCACAAATCAGTACAGGTATATCTATTTTGGCTATTTTCTCTAATCCTTGGATAAGAGTTGCAACCTAGGGAACCAGAGATACAGCACAGTTAATTTACACATTAAAGAAATTAAAAGATAAATTAAGAAATTGAAAAACAATAACCAATACCTGCCACAGTTTGACATCTGTGAGCTTAGCATTGGCATGTATATGAGTATTTGCCTGATGATACAAGTATAACCATGTCAGCTGTCTAATAGAACATTTGCAACTCAGAAATTGCAGTGGAAGTCTGACTGTCTGAAACCACATGTACCACACAAATTCTAGAATGCAGGGCATCAGAAACAGTGTCATTTCCCTTCAGTTCAAATATTACAACAAGAGCAACATTATCCTACAAAAGCAAATACCATACGGGTTACAAAAATCACCAAACATTTTGAAGCACACAATGACAACACTGAAATTTGAATTACCAAGAAGAAAATTAATAGACAGAAGAAAGAAATACCTTTGCAAATCGAAAATGATCTTCAGTTCTCATACTCGGATTAAGTTCTTTTATCACTGAGTGTGCATATGCACCATATTCAAGCTACCAAAAAAACAATTTATCCATCAAACTGTGAAAACTGTTTACATCAGAATCTTGGTGAAATAAATATTGGTTTATTTACATCATAATGCCAGAAACCATCAAGCAATGCATGCTATTTACATCATAATCAAGGTGAAATAAATGTTACTATGTTACCTCATATCTTTTAATCTCTTTAAATCGATCACGGCGGAAAAATGTTGCACATCCATCAGTTATAGATCCATTACGAGTATAAAGCTGTAAGAAGTGCAATTGAACCATGTAAAAAGAAATGACAAGGTAAGTAATCTTGTCAGGTTCTTTAACTGTTTTTATTCAGGTTAATAATAGGATCATTTACTAAAACACCCCCTATAGTTTCATGGATTTACATAAATCAACTCTATATTTTTTATTTTGCTAAAATACACCCTAATGCCCTATATTTTGCAACATATTTACTTAATTGACCTTTCACTAAGAAGTGTTTGTAGTTTGTTTGCCATCTGAAAATAGCAACATGATCAACCAAACTGAGCGGAAAACCCATGATTGTTAATTATAAAATCACACCTAGAACTTCATCCTACAGAAAAATAAAATTGACCAAATAGAGTGGTTGCCAGTGTGCTAATAGGGGAGAAAATGTTATTTTTATTTTTGTTTTCTTTTGATTGAATTTATTCAAATGAACATTAGGGTCAAAAATGTCATTCTCCACTGTCATCTAATGGAAGGTCAATCAAGTAAACGATTGCAAACTATAGGGGGTGTATAAAGTAAAATGAAAACTATAGGGTAGATTTCAGTAAATCCATGAAACATGATTTTAAGAAGCCACATAGACCAGCATCCAACATAAGGATATTCTAGAAATACAGATGTGTGCATGTGCAGACTTTGTAGCAGATGGGCACACCATGACAACTAACCACAAAAATATACAAAATTTCATTGTGAAGAAAAGCTTAGCTGCTGATGTTTAAAAACTAGCATACAAAAAACAAAGAATGTGTGGCAAAAGTGCTTTCTTTAAGGATTAAAAAGGTCCTTCCATCTCTCATTACTCAAACCCAAGGTGCTTTTGTCCAAGATAGGCAAATTATAGATCAGATCCTTATAGCAAATGAATGTGTGGAGGAAATGAGGAGATCCGGCAATCAAGGTTTTATTTGTAAGCTGGACATTGAGAAGGCCTATGACTCAATGGATTAGGATTTTCTATTAGAAGTTCTAAGGAAATGTGGATTTGGGGATAGATGGTGTAGGTGGGTGAGCGGATGCATAACATCTTGCCAATTTTCAGTTCTAGTTAATGGAGGGGTCAATGACTTCTTCCCAGCATGTAGAGGGCTCAGGCAAGGAGATCCTCTTTCCCCCTTTTTGTTCACACTTGTGGTAGATGTGCTCAGTAGAATGATTTCTAAAACAGATAGGGAAGGGCTAATAAGAGGTTGGAGGATAGGCAGAAATAATGTCACGGTGACTCATCTTCAGTTTGTTGATGATATCATCACCTTTTGTGAAGGGGGAGACTTATGGAGAGTGAGAAACCTAAAAGATCTTATTAAATTCTTTGAGTCTGCTTCAAACCTATCGATTAACTTAGACAAAAGTTGTGTGGTGGGAATCAATTTGGAAAATTGGGAGGTAGAGGCTATAGCAGGTTCTCTAGAGTGTTCCATGTCTGATTGGTTTTTAACCTACTTGGGCCTTCCGTTAAGAGCTAACCCAAAAGAAAATCAGTTATGGTATCCAATTGTGGAAAAGTTTGAAAAGAGGCTGGCTGCTTGGAAAAAATGTTACATTTCGATAGGGGGTAGAGTGACCTTGATTAGGGCGACACTTGCTAGTCTTCCGGTTTATTTTCTTTTTGTATTCAAGATACCCTCAAGGGAAGCCAAGAAGCTAGAAAAGGTGATGAGGGATTTCTTGTGGGAGCTAGGGGAAGAGAAGAAGGATCACTTGATTAGGTGGGAGATAGTCAACAGGAGTAAGGAAGAAGGGGGATTAGGATTGGGAAATCTAGTTCTTAAGAATGAAGCCTTACTAGGGAAGTGGCTTTGGAGATGGCCGTTAGAGAGAGAGAGGTTGTGGCACAAGGTGGTGAATAATATTCATGGCTGTTTGTAGAACAGTTGGGATGTCGGGGTATCTCGACGGGCGACTCTTGCAACACCCTAGAAGGCCATTCATGGAATTCTACCCCATTTTCTCAATCTGGTCAGGTATGATGTTAATTCTGGACAAAATGTTCTTTTTTGGGAAGACATTTAGGTGGGCAACCAACCTCCTAAAGACCTTTTTCCCTCTCTTTACTCTCTTTCCCTTTATAAGGAAGAGTAGGTTTCCAGTTTTATTTCCTACTCAGATTCTTCTATGGCCCTAAACTGGGATTTTGGTTTCCGTAGAGGGTTACGTGATGATGAAAGTGCTTGTGTTTCAGGTTTATTGTCTTCACTTGAGTCTATTTGTTTAGATCCCCTCAAACCTGACACAAGAATTTGGACCCCTAACTCGAAAGGTTTGTTCATTTGCTCCTCTTTCTTCAAGTCCCTTTATTCCACTTTTGCACCTCAGAATTTCCCAGTTAAAGAATTTTGGACTAGGCCCATTCCCCCAAAGATTGTTGTTTTTTGTTGGGAAGTTTATTATGGCAAGATTAACACCTTTGAAAACCTACAAAAGAGAAGACCAAATTGGTGCTTATCTCCTAATTGGTGTGTTCTTTGTAAATCTCAAAATGAGGACTGTCACCACTTACTGATCTCTTGTTCCTTTGCTACAGCTTTATGGAATTGGATTCTTACGTTGTTTAAGTGTAGGTGGAACCTACCATCTGATACTAGTTTGTTGTTTAGTCCGTATTTTTGAATGGCACACAAAGAGAGGGAGAATTATGTGGAAGTGCATAAGAGCAGCTTTGTTGTGGACAGTTTGGGAAGAAAGGAACACCAGAATCTTTTGTGAAAAAATAAAGGAGCTTCTTGGAAGTTAAAGAATGTATTTTGACAAGGGCAATTCAGTGGCTGAAAACTCTAAAGATCTTTGATGCATACTCTTTTGATGACCTATGGAGAAGCTGGTTAGCAGTGGCTAATACTTCTACCAGGAAGGACAAACATGGGGTTGAATGGATGCCACCAGGTGAGGAGTTTATCAAGCTGAACTTTGATGGAAGTAGCTGAGGAAATCCAGGACCTTCAGGCATAGGAGGAGTGCTGAGAAACAAAGATGGTAACGTGATATCTTTGTACTCAGGTCTTGCGGGTGTGGGAGACTCTTTAAGGGCCAAATTACTTGCTGTTGTACAAGGAATCCAGCTTGCAAATCAGCTAGGCATAGAGCATCTAATTATTGAAGGGGAATCCCAGGTGATAGTGGGTTGGCTGAAGGATCCAGACACTATGATTTGGGGTTTTAGAGATCTTCTCAAAAAGGTTAAATGGTTAACAAGGAATATGACAATCAGAGTTCAGTGGGTAGGCTGATCAGCAAACTCATTGGCTGATTCACTTGCAAAACAAGGGGTTTTCTGGGATACTTTATTTTGGGCTTCAGTGTAAATTCTTTTGTACTTACAATTCTGTAATTATCTTTGAAGGAAAGGTCGCATCCCGTGCCTTTCCACGGGTTGCATGTAACTCTTATTTGCTGGTCTAATAAAATTTCACTCATTTATCAAAAAAAAAATGTATTTAACCACTAAAAAAGAAAATTAGATATAGTATATATAAAAGATTATATTGGTGAGAGAGCATAATCAACAACTGTACACATGGAACACTAGCGCTCTTCAAAAGGGAAAAAAAAATAGAAGTAGGGGTTTGGATGAAGAAATGGCCCATCTCTGCCAATGGCCCATCTCTGCCAAATGGGTTGTTCAAGTCATTGAGACTGTTTCTTACATGGAAGCCCAAGCTAATAACAAGCATTTTACTAAAAGAAAGAGCTTCCCATCATTATACATAAAGCATAGATTTGAGAGGCCTAGAGAGCCGTACAACAAATGAAGGGAATTTCTAAAATAACTTCAAGTTAGTGGAGACCCATAAGCCCATTAACAGATACACCAAGTAAGAATTCTCTGTGCAGAATTATCCAAAATAAGAACATAAAAGCCATTACTGATTACCCAATGTTGGTAAAAGCTATCTGGGGTCTTGGGACAGTAGACTGGATAAGGATCTAATCCTTTGGACTTTTTTTGCACAAATTGATCACTCTCAGACTTGAAACCATGGTCTAATGCTTGTCAGCCCAGATTTTACCATTCAACCATGCAACGGCCCCTTTATGGAAGATAAGAATCAAATTTAATAAACAATTGGCACTTTGTGAAACCAATTGTTTTGGCTTATAGATAAACAAACACAACGTTTACTTCCCATTTATTTAATTTTTACCAACTGGCTATAAATCAGGTTAGTATACCCCATTAAATCCCATACCTTTTTAAATTCTTAATATATCATGCATGAGGGAACATCTTGGAGAGGGCCACAAATAGACCTTTGAATAAGCAGGCAAGAAAACCTCTTCTAACAGATTGGAAAAGAACACTCTCACCCTGTTGTAATTTTTTGTTCTAACTCTAATAAAATATTATCTCATTGATCAAAAAAAACAGATTGCACAAATACTTGATCAGGAACAAAAACAAAGAAGACATCCTAAAGCAAAAACACCAACCACACACAGCTATATTTGTCTAAAATTTACCTGATCCTTCTTTTTCTTGTAAATAACCGAGTACCCACGTTTTTTCAGCTCAGGTTCAAAGAAATTCATAAAATGATCACTTTGCACCTGTTCAGCTCACATCGAAGATATATTAGTTAAGAAAGACCAGGGTGTAATGCACCAAAAGGTCCCTATGCKGGATTTGTTAGACAGGCAGATAGTGGGGGAGAAATTACCTCCTGAAGACAAAGAATATCTGCTTCATATCCAACAATCTCACGTAGCAGATTTTCTCGGCGGTATTCCCAAGTAAGAGCCCATCTAGGGCAATAACCATGCAGTTCCGTATTGACATAAAAATCGGAAAGTATATTGTAGGATAGCACACTAAAAGTTCCAGCAATAGAAGACTTGGGTTCCAAACTTAAATATTTAAATTCCTCCGGAGATCTAATTTCAATCATGAAGCGAGGACGTGGAATAGGAGCAACAATTACAGGATCGGTCAAAATGATATTTACTGGAGACAAAGGATTTCCTCTTTTATCTACAGCTGCACATTCCAGCCTCAGAATGTAGCCATGATCAGCCATTGAGGGTACATATCCCTTTGAAGAACCCACATTAATCCATGTCTGACCATCTTGGTCCACCACATCATCAAAGCCTGACCAAGGTGACAAGGAGCGGCTACTTTTACCCATAGAAGCCTGACCATCTTTATTGGAAGTCTTACTTGTAGTGAAAGCCTCCTGAAAATGGCATGCATGGTGGTTCTTCCATGAATCAAGGAAACACTTCTTAGAGCAGTAGTAACTCTCTTTAACTGGTGCATTTGACATTATGCAACACATGCACTGGAAAGCTGCTGACTCAGAAGGGTGCATGCAACAAGGAAACTCCCCATCACTGTGATAGCGATACCTGCTTAGATGTCATTTATAAAATTGCGCAAAAGATACAATGAAGATAAGATGATCTATACCCAACTGATCAATAAGCAGCATGTTTTCCTACACAATATTATTTCCAGAACAAATGGATTAAGCTAACAGAATAATAAAAAGCTAATCCACCATTTTTCCCAGATATGAGAAGACAGCTTATAGATATGAGAATTTACATGGAAGGTTTAAGTGCACTACATGAATAAAGAAGCCATTTGTATTACACACACACGCAAAAGATGATAAAGAAACCATAGTTTAAGTATCCAGCCAGGTAAGCTAGCTGTTAGTATATTAGGAAAAGAAACCCATAGATTGTATTAAACAGTAAAAACRTATTTTCTATATAGTCAAAAGAAGCAATACCATGCAAGCAGTGTTTTAAAAGCGCAAGGCACAAAAAAGGCGCAGAGGTCAATTTGCGCCTGAGGTGCAAGGCGAGGTGGGCGCCTTTTTGAAGCAAGGCGCAAAAATACAAAAAAAAATGCTAAAAATAAAAAAAATTGCCAGAAAATTCAAAAAATATTAAACATAATATTAATAAAAAATATAAACTTAAATTTTAAAATAAATGTTTTAAAAAACCTATTATCTAAAATTAAAATACATAATAAACATAAGATGTAAAGCATATTCAAATGAGAATTTAAAAATAAAATCAAACATATAAAACATTTTCAAGCATGTAAAACCTCTAATCTCTTTTTTCACTCAATTGCATTATTTCAAATGTAAAACATATTACATTCCTGATTATACGAGCCGCCTTTGTGCAATGCCCCTCAAGACAAGCCCAAACAAGTCCATGTTAGGTGTTAAATTCTTAGTTCTCACACAAAAAATAATGGATTTATAATTTTAATTGCTTTTTAAGAAAATATTTTATTAGGATGAATGAATSAACAACATTAGCAAATAGCCCAGACGCTATGTTCAAAAAAAGCAAAAAAAAACGYCAAATTTTCAAAAGGCGCACGCTTGGGCTGAGGCACAAGGCGCACGCCTAGGCGCACCAAGCGTGTGCCTTTTGAAAGGGCTGTGCTCCTAGGACCTAGGCAAGGCACATACCCTAAAATGTGCCTCGCCTGTGCGCCTAGGCACGCCTTTTAAATCACTGCATGCAAGTGAGAAAGTTTCTCAAAGGTGAAAGTAGAAAAAGTTCATTTCATTGACAACCACTAGGCAACCTCATATAAAAGCTAAATCTTGTTACAATTTTCTTTAAGGTAATGCTTAACCTGCCTTGCTTTTTTCTTTTACTATTTACATTACATTGTCAACAAGAGATCCCTAATACAACTTTACCCTATTGACTCCTTTAGTCAAGGTGTCTACCAAGCAATTTGCAAATCTATGGATCCACCTGAACCTTGCTCCAATTTCCCTTGCTAGCACTCTTATTTCCTTCATAATATTCCAATATTGCCACAAACCGTAAGTGTTGCCCTTTAACCAGGACAACCACTCTAGAACCACCTTTATCTCTCCCTCAAAAAGCCCCAATTCCCTTGCATTTGTACCCAAAACAACAATCCTCTCTTCACCCCTTGCTTAGCTAGTGCATCAGCTATACATTAACACTCCGCTTGACCCACCCTATCCTTACTTCCATATCTCTAGTTAGCCACCTGAATTTCTTCCCATCATTATTATAAATCCACATTTTCATTCCCTCATCCTGTAACCAGTTGATCACCAGTCTTGAGTCCCCCTCGACACTTAGCTTGCTGATGCTCATTGTTTTCACCCTTTGTATGCCTTCCATTACAGCCATGACTTCTGCTCCCAATGAATCTCCTTACCCAGCCGGCCCAAAATCACCTTATACAGTTTGGACAATATGTTTCTACAACCAACCTTCCCAAACATAGTCCTTGCAGTATTGCAAGCACCTCTGCCCTAGTGGAGTTTCTAATAAATAGGTTTTGAATATATGGCCAAGTTGAAGCCATGACAATCCCTAATAATCCATCCTTTCCTGAAAGTCCAGGGCTTCCCATGCTGCAGATATCAAAACTAAATTTAACTTGATGAACAACAGTTGGGGACCATTGCCATGAGGCTATTATCCTTGTAGATTATCGGTTATGCCAGCCTAGTGATGGATACCCATTCTAACTTGGGCTTGAGCTAGAAGTTCTAATTCCTAAGAAACTAAGACATCCTATTGCATATTTAACCCTGAGTACATACTGCTAATCTTCCCAGTAGCATAAAAACTCAAGCATCCAGGTTGACAATAAAGGTTGGACTAGAGAATTAAATTTTGACAGACTGTTAATTGTAGGTGACTCTAAACTGATAATAGGGTGGTTGAAAGAACCAGAAACAGTAATACGGAAACACAAGGAATATGTGAAAAGATTCAAATGGCTGGTTAGATACATGACAATATCTGTCCAATGGGAAAGGCAATCAGCCAATTTGCAAAATGGGGGGGGGGGTGCATAAGTCTGAACTATTTTGGGCTCAGTTGTAATTCTGTTTCTGGATGGAGCTGCATCTCACGCCTCTGTTGGATGTATGTGCTAATTCAAAGCAAAAGGAAATTCTTTTAAAAGAAAATTAATGAAAAAACACTACAACTACATAAAAAATGCAAACCTCAATTTTAACCCTGTTTGTCACTCCACTGTATTAAGGGCCACATTGCATTTCCAAAGTAGAAGAAGACAAACAAGCAAGCAAAAACAAATTATGCAAGGGGACCGAGACACATAGTGAAGTGCTAGGTCGAGCCACTCCCGTAGCCCATTCACTCCGTGCTCCTTATATCGGGGGATCCAACAGTTATTGTGCAGCTGCAGTTCACCAGAACTTGGAATTGCAGATTCGCTTGATCACCCAATTCAGACTTATTGAAGTATCCAGTCTTAAATCATTACCATCATACCCAATGATGATGAGATAATATGTTCAGCTACTGCCATACTGGTAACTGAAAAAAAAAAAAAAAAAAAAGTGTAATAAATTCCTTTGTTTACCGTGGCAGCGGTGCCAACTAAATGGTTCAAACCCTAAACTTCTAAAAATTCAAAGTTCAGATAAGATGGGCAACCCTTAAGTCATGTTAAGCCTATTTCTCGGCCAATTAAGCAAGTCTATCAAAGTTTCCAATTTGGGGGTCACTGCTTGGTGTAATAGTAAAGTCTCGGGACGACAAACGTGGGAACGAGGGCTTGAGTCTGAGAGTGACCAATTTGTGCAAAGGATGCCAACGACTGGATCTGTCTCCAGTCCATTTGGTTCTTTTTTTACCTTCTTCATCTCATTAAGTGATTCTTGTTTCTTGAATCTTGACTACTACGATTGTCGCATGATCATTTTAAACATATAAAGCATTACATTTCAACACACAATGAAAAACAAAAAAAAAAACAACTAAGATGAAGGAATGGAGAACCAAATTAATACCCTAAATGAACTTTAACTCTTCTTGGGAAAGAAAAAATGTTGGAAATAAAGTGAGAAACTATCAAACAGTGGAAAGAACATGAAAGAGACTAACCAGTTGAAGATCACTGAGTGGTCCGGGAGTTTAGCAGAACCAGAACGGCTCGGGAATACTTGAGGTTTGATCTCGACACCAACGACGGGGGTACTAGAAGGAAGACTAACTCTCAGTTCACATTGCATATTTTCAGATTCTTCGAAGTCCACTTGAACGAAACAAATTTGCACGATGAAAGAACCATATTCATCAAATCCTCCAGAGAAGGAGTAAAAAGAAATGGAAGAACCAACCAAGAAGCAGGACGGACGAAAACTAAAGAGAAAACGGAGAACCAAAAAGAATCGAAACAAGAACAGATGAATGACAAGAGATAGAACAAACAAATCGATTTCGAGAGACCTTTCTAGGGTTTTGCAGCTCTTCTTCGTCTGCTCCTTATTGCTGCGTCTCGTCGATTTCCAAGGGCCAAGAACAAGAGTGGGGTTTCTTCAATTTTCTCAAGATTCTTGGCACTCCCGGTTTGATGTGCTTTTTTAGTTCAATGCTCATGCTGGGTTGGAACTTGGGAACTTGGAACTTGGGACTTGGGGAGATGTCAAGAGTCAAGACAGTTTAAAATAGGAAAATTTCTTGTCTAAATGAGGCACTGAGTAGCAAAATCTGTGTAACTTTTGCGCGGGACTAAAAACCTTTACACCATTGGGTCGCTCTCACAGATGATTGGCACGTGATGATCCCATTGGGTCCCGCATCATACAGCATCCAGTGGTCCCACCTGGAGCCAAGAATCAACTTAGCCGTCCGATAACTTTTATACTTCTCGAAGATCCCAAAGGACGGGAACGTGATTTGTCTAAATGAGCCATAGTGCATTCACTGGATTCTTACTTATATCCTAATTACGGCTGTGGGGGTGGGGCTGTAATGGGATCGGATCTTCCTCCATCAAAGTCTAATAATTGATTCCATTTGGTAATGTCTCAGCCGAATTCGATCCTAAATCCGACCGAACATGTGGGATGTTGGTAGGGGTCATTGATTGATCGAACCGAGCCAAAACCGAATTTGTGATTTGGTTTGGTCTATACGTAAAAATGGTTTGATTCGATTTGACGTTTTTAAAAATTGTGATCGACGGTTTTCGGATTTTATAAGCAAACGTAAACCATAGATATATAGAGAGATAAATAGATATGGATATATTATATATTTATATAATACATATAAATTTATGAATAAATAATATATAATCATATAATTATATAATGTATAAATATATATTATATATAATATTTAAATCAAATATATAAAATTATAACTATATAATAAACTCTTTAGTTTTATAATAAAATAAAAGTTTTAACTTTTAACTTTTAGGGTTAAAACTAATAAATACATGGAATGGCCCAAAGTCCCCAAGACTTATTAGAAACTGCACCAAACCATAATAAAATGGTTTGGTATCATTTGCTTTCCATACCAAAACAGTTTGATTTGGTATAGGAATTTCTTAGAACATAATTTATAAGATTTGGTCTAAGTTCTTTTTCAAACCACACCAAACCATGAAGACCCCTAGATGTTGGAATTCGAATTCGAATGGATATATTGCCTTTCCTTTCTTTTGGATAAATTGTTGGACTTTCCCTAAAGTTCTTACTATTGCTGAAACATCCCTTAAGTTTAATCATTGCAACCATCTCCCCTAAACTTTTTGACATAAATACATAGTTGCAAGTAGACCCTAGGCATRACCAAAATGTTTATTTTTTCAATTTTTCTCTTCATACCAGTCGTTATCCCAAACCCTCAATAATAACTGCATGGGTATTTTGGACRTTTTTTATGCATCTTGTAAGAAGATTCTAAAGGGTATCTATATGAAACTATATCAACAAGTTAAGGGATGTCATTGCAATTGCCAAATAGGGAGGTTTAACAACTTACCTTTTTATAGGGGTAAAAGGATAAGATATGTTACTTTCTAGTATCACAAAAATTGTCCAATGCTTTTTTATGTTTTTTAAGGCTCATTCGCCAAAAATTATTAATGTCAATAATTGTATGGCCATTTTACAAAATAAATTATATGAACATGATCAAATCAATGATCATGACAAAATTGTCCTTGTATGTTAAAAAATAGAAAAATAGACCATTTGGGAGGGTTTCAACTTTGCTTTTTTTTTCTATAGGTTTTAGTTTTGATTAAATTGTTGACCGAGCCAAGTAAGTTAATGAAACTAGCTTCACCCAAAAAGCGATGATTTAGGTGTCTTTTAGCAAGTCTTTTTTGAATGATCRTCCAGAGAATAACTAATAGTCAAATGATGTAGTGAATTTTTATATAACGATCTTGGCAGCCCAAATATCGTTTGGTTTAGGGATGGCAATTTTCCCCACAAAACCAAGGCCTTGATCCCATCCACCTTGAACAAGGCAGATTTCCCCCAACCTTAAATAGGGACGGGTTAGGTTTAGGGATTTTCTTTTTATCCTGAATTGGAGACGGGATGGGGATGGGGTCTACATATAAATCCCCAAACCCAATGGTAAATTGCACTATTATCCCTTATATATAATAGCCTAATAAGTGCTTAGCTTTTGGACTTTTGTGAGTTTCTTTTGGTTTCCATACTTGAGACTTCGACAATTCCCCCCAATTCTAAACTCCAAGAGCCAAAACCCAAAAACAAAAAGTGGCGAAACCCCTCTCAGCCTCCCTGCCCTTCATCCCTTTTTTCTTCCTTTTCGATAGTGATTATGGTTTCCATAGTGGCAGCAGTGTCAACTATCTAAATGTCAAGACTCTCCTCTGTTCACATTATGGTTTCCATAGTAGCACCAAGAGTGCATCACCGGTGGGTGATGGACCAGCTCCATCTTATTCTTAGTTGTTCGAAGTCGAAGAGGTGAATTAATGAGTGATATTGTTTTTTTTTTTTTTGGGGGGGGGGATTCCCRATTAGTACCCTGTACTTTGAGCCTAGTGCTACTATGGTCCCCGAACTTTGAAACGTGACAATTCAGTACTTGAACTTTCAAAATGTTTCAATCTAGTACCTGTTGTTGACCAATCCGTTAACCAGTCGTTAAGTGACATTTGAAAATACACAAATGCCTTTTGAATGTCATCTAATTTTCTTTATCATCCACCCACATGTTGATAAAAATGAACAGTCTCAAATCCTTGCCTCTTCTAATCAATAAAGTCGGGGCTACGTCTCAGTGGGCATTCTTGTGACCCCAACTTTATTGAATAGAAGATGCAAGAATTCGAGACTGCTCATTTATTGTCAATGTTTGGATGGTTGATAAATAGAATTAGATGACACTCGAAGGATATTTGTGTCTTTTCAAATGATACTTAATGGTTGGTTAATGAGCTGGTTAGTGTTAGGTATAGATTGGCACGTTTTAAAAGTTTGGGGAACCAAAGTGGCACTAGACTAAACGTACAAGATACTAATCTGAGATTTTTCTTTTTTTTTTCAGTACCATGATATGACAATAGCGCCACAAACTTTGTCACTATATTGTTGTGCGTCACAAACTTTGTTTCTGTTGATAACTAGGCAACAGTTCGGAGCAATAACAGGTGTGGGAGTGAGAGATGGGGTAAAGTGGGTGGTGGAAAGGGATTTACTAATTTTATTAACTTTTCTAATGGGGACAACTAATGATAATTTTTGGTTGTTGCATTCTATTATTTATTCTTAATTGTTTGATATCAGAATGGTTCTCTTCATAATTGTTTAAAACTATGAACAAAATTCAGTGCATCTCCAATTTCAAGTTTATTTTAAAAAATCGTTAGGTTCCTCTCGGTCCATATTGTCCACATCATAGCATTGATTCAAATAATGGACTCATCTTTTCTTAAYCCATTAAGATTCCAACTCATTTATGTTTTCTATATGAACTAGAAAACATACAGAACCTGAACCTGAATTTTAATAATATTAAAAAGAATAGTAGCATATCAAAACCTGATACACTATAATTGAAACTATCAACCTTTTTAGATGAATTATATAATTTACATTATATAGAAGAATAGAAAATAACATACAAAAAAGTTGTGGGCGGGGATATGATAGGGATTCCCCATACCTGATAGGGCCGAGGATAGGGGTTGAATCCTTGCCCCGATACCGATAATGGGTTAAGGGATTTTAGCCACATGGGCGGGATGGGGAAGGGTACCCCACCCTGCTACCATTCCTAGTTTGGTTGGAGGTGTGTCTTTCCGTATGAAAACAAGACTTGAATAGGCGAAAAAAAAAAGGCGAGAAGCTCAATGTCTAACTTTTTGAAATAAGTTCGAATCAAATTTCATGCATATTTTTTCGGGGTGTGGTCTTTCAACAGAAAGATCTTCCCCCAACCAAATGGAGAAAGACTAAAAAACGAGCTACCAAGCTTCTTAAAAGCTGACAACCTGCGCAAAAAGACATGCTGAATGGGAAAGCCTTAGGTGGGGGAGGAGACTATATTGATTATAAAATTGCTAGAAATGGTCCTACAATTACTATCATACACTTTGCTAATGTTGCTTAACTTTTGCAAATACAACTATTGGTGGCTATTTTATAATTAGGGGGCATTTTTTTTTCTATTTTGAGAGGTGGGGGGGGGGGGGGTTGGTCAATGGGATTTTGGCTCCCATTGACCAAGAAACCCATGTCCTTTTTTCAAATTTATGTGGGATCAGGAAAATAACTTTCCCACTCAGTGAAAGTCAATAACAATTGAATGGGACAAAAATGCCMTTTTTAATGATGAATTTTTATGGCTAAAACGACCAGTCTTATTTAAATAGTTAAATCTTAAATGCATTTACCCGGGTAAGTCTTTCCTATAAAACACTTACCTAGATAAGTACTTTACCTAAATAAATAACTTATTAAAAAGTAAAAACTGAAGAAGATCTTAGAAACATTTCGAAGATTCCACTAGGGCCTTAGGCTAGTGCCTAAAGTTTTCGAAATCTATGGCTATGATTTTCAAAGAATATTCTGGGAATATTGCATATACTCTCATGTCAAAAATCCTTAAAATCCCCGGGGCCCCAACTATTGATGGCAAAGTAACAAAAGATATGTCCAAGGGTTTCGAAATCTATGGATTTTGCACCATCGTTTGTGTTGCTAGAAACCATATTGGTGAATTATTTGATTTGAAAGCCTGTGATTTCAGGATTCACCACAAAAAATATTGTCCAAACTCGGTCTACGTGGAAGGCCGATACGAGTCCTTGTGTTTGGGTTCATGGTCTTCACTCTTCAATGATGGGGTTGCCATGGGATCTTGCAAACATTTGCTTTTATGATGTATGGGGGCGCGCCCCTTGCCTTGTGTAGCACAACTCAAAAAAAGCTAACTTCTCATTAATTGTGCCTTAACTCGTTTTTTTACGGCCCATTAATTGTGGTCGTTTTAAATATGAAATTTATGACCATATTGTATGCATCTTATAAATTCAAATCGATACGATATATTTTTTAAACCAATATTATATTTTTTACTAATTACTAAATAATATTTTAATTTACAATAAATATCAACACACTTTCTATTTACATAAATACCAAATATTATTTACACATTATTTAAGGTTCAAAGTATTGATATAATACGATTTTCGATTGTATCGTATTAATACTTAGAAACAGYCGATACATACCTTTTTTTTTAGTTTTTTTTTTAAGTTTAGTATTTTGGGAGGCTTATAAGATATTTTTTGTTATTAACAAAATTGGGGGTCTGAAACACCTGGAAAYAGGCATTTCAAACTGTATATTTTTCAAAAGATACGATATGATACGATACACTGTATCGAGTGCATCGTATCGATACTTTGAACCATGACACTATTTAAGAGTTTAAGATTAAGTTGATTTTTTATAAGTGTACACAACTAAAATAATAAAATATTTGTATTCTATAATTAAAATATAATATGCACATGATTTATGTATAGGACCACCTATATATTTTTGCATTAATTATATATTTCTATAGTTTCCTTGATTGCTATTTCATTTCAAATAGTAGTTTTATCCTTAGGTGGTGGTTGTGAGCCCAAACAATAAGAGATGAAAATTGAAAAGCTTGTTTCTAAAGCTCAATTTGGAAGGAGTACAAATACAAATATGTATAGTGCAAATACATACAAAATAGTATGAAATATAGGGTTTTGCACTCTATATATTTGTATTTGTACTAGTACAAATACATACAAAATAGTACAAAATATAAGGTTTTGCACTCTATATATTTGTATTTGTACTCCTTCCAAATCGAGTCTAAGAAACCAGGGAAGTTTTAATTGATTTCARTAAGGGAACCAAGTTTTGACTTTTGACCAATTGGTGTTTGGATGTGTTGCCTTCTTGTGTTGCAGCCCCAACAATATCACTTATCAGGAAGGTAGGGCTAGTCTGTTGTTGTTGTAGGACTGCAAATAAGTCAGACCAGATCCAATTGGAATTTGAATCCAATCCCATAAGAGCTGCATTCACATAGATCCCTTGATTCTAACAAATTAGATATGATTGGAAAAGGTGATCTATTTAGTTAATGGATTGAATTCAAATATACCTGATCTGATTTGTTACTTATGAAATATGAAACATTATATATTATTTGCATAATTATGTTATATATTATAAATATTAGGGAAAATTCTCAATTGGTACCCTATACTTTGGGGCTAGTGCCATTTTGGTCCTTAAACTTTAAATTGTAACAATTCAGTACCCAAACTTTCAAACACATGCCAATCCACTACCTGTTGTTAACCAGCCGTTAAGTGGCATTTGAAAAGACACAAATGCCCTTCAAGTGTCATCTAATTTTCTTTATCAACCATACAGACATTGATAAAAAATTGAGCAATCCCAAGTACTTGCCTCTTCTATTTAAGAAAGTTGGGGTCACTAAAATGTCCATTGAGACATCACTCCAACTTTCTTGAGTAGAAGATGCAAGGATTTGGGATTATTCATTTTTTTATCAATATTTGGATGGTTGATATAGAGAATTAGATAACACTCAAAGGGCATTTATATATTTTCAAATGCCACTTAACAGCTGATTAACGAGCTAATTAACAACAGGTACTGAATTGGCACATTTTGAAAGTTCGGGTACTAAATTATCACATTTTAAGGTATGGTGACCAAAATGGCACTAGGCCCAAAGTACAGGATACTAATTGGTAACTTTCCCTAAATATTATTATATTAACTAAATAAATAATATAATATATTATTTTTATTACAATTCTAATTGAATCGGAATTTCGATAAGATATTCGAATTTGAATTTGAATCATATTCTTGAAAAATCTAATGAATTCTTATCGAATTCGGATCAAACGGATTTTCTTTTTCTTTTTCTTTTTGTTCAGATCGATATGCCCTTTACCGAATCTGATCCGATCCATTTGCAGTCATAGTTTGTTGTACTTCAAATCATGACAATGAGTCCATTTTTGCAAGGGTTGTTGCTTGTTAGTAATGATCATGGGCATCGGCTATATTCTGCATCTGGTTCAGGTATATGGAGCGTTGTGCAAGCCCAGGTCCGGTCCCGCACATTGGACCCAGGCCAGGCATATTATGGCCTTATGGGCTATCCAAGGCCCAGTCGTGAGATCCTTGAAGCTTTGTGTTGGCAGACAAGACGACCGATCTGATTATCTGACATACCCTCAGGGACACAGGGTGAGGGTGGGCGGTATACTCCCGACTCCTATTCCAATTTCAAAAACAAAGCGCAGGTTCCCTCCTTTTTAAGCCAGGACGTCGCGAGGGAAAGAGGGGGCAAGGCAAGAATGGAGGGAGAAGACACGGGGACGAAAGGTGAAGCTTTGAAATCTCAGATTGCGATCCGCTGTATGAGAGCAAATTTCCTTATTTCATCGCTGAAGTCTCTCCAGGCTTACCGCAATGCGAGCACAAGAGACGACGGCGAGGAGGAAGATGTAAGCGCCAGATCTTCAATGAGATTCGCGTTTCCATTTCTGTATTCGATTTTGCTCTGCATCTACTTATCGAGTATTCGTTTTATTTCTCTCAGAAAAGAGACCGGTTGCTGAGAACCATTACAAATCTGAAGATAGAATTGGCCAGAGAGCGAGAGATGAACAGGCAGATCAGGATTTTCAGCTCGGTCGAGGCATTTTTTTGTATCCTGGTGCTGTTATCGCTCTGGAGTTTCTGTTTGACGTTCGCATTCGGATCGGAATGAAATGCAACCTTTCTCCTTTTTTTTGTCTGGACCAACGAACTCGATTTCGTATTGCTCTCACAGCTTGGTTTCATCTACCCTTCCTATTAGGAGCTTTTCTACGGAAGAGGGACACTGAACAGTGGACTGCCAGTAAACTAGAATTCAATTTGTAAGTGGCTCAATATAAACATCGACAGTATTTTTTTTCTCAATCTTCGATCTGACGATCTATCTGATCGGTTTTCCACTATTTTGTATATTCTGTCTGGTTGTGTTATTCTTCATGTATAAAACTTAATTTTAGAATGAAAATGAAAATGAGTCTCGCCTCCAGCACATGGTAAACTCGCCGAGTTCAATCAGGTTTGCTCGTGTGGAGGAGGGATTGGCCGAGTTTAATCATGTCTATCATAGAGAAAGGATCAGCTGAACACAATAGCTGTTCAGCGGGCTGTAAGAACCAATAATAATACTCAACGCCAGTAATAAAATACCACAGTCAAATCTGGATCTGATGTATTTTTGTCCAGTATGCCGTGGCATTGACACCATGGGTTGATCTTTTTCAGCCCGGCCTGGTCCAGCCAAAGATATTATAAATATATAATATAAATTTATATGATATTTGATATGTAAATATAATATGGCATATATAATATATTTTAAATATTATATATTTAAAATTTGGGAAAATTCCTTATCAAGTACCATGTATTCTTGCTTGAGTGACAATTTAGCTCCCGAACTTTAAAATACGATAATCCATTACCCGAATATTTGAAACGCGACAATCTAATACCTGTCGTTAATCAACTGTTAAGTGACATGTAAAAAGACACAAATACCCTTTAAGGGTTATTTAATTTTCTTTATCAACCATCCGCTAAAATTAGAATCAATCATCAAAATTTTCATCCATTTTAATTTTTTCCTCTAAGAGGTAATCAACCAAATAGCAAACTGAAATTTTCACACATCCATTTGCGCTTTTCTTCTGCTTTTTTATTTTCTTATTTGGGTTGAAATTTGCAGGTTATTGCAAAACAATAACATTTTTGGAGAAATTCCGATGGAGCTCGAAAACCTTCCCACTGTTCTCCGGCAACATTCCCATGTCTTTGGGTCAACTCAACAATTTGCCATACCCGTGAGCTTTTTGAATAAACACAGAGAGCTATTAATCTCTGTCTTTGTTGAATTCATGCTTCATTCTCATTAGTCCTTTKCATCTAATCTCTTCTTATCTTTTCTTTGTTTCCTTGTATCTAATCGTGTACGAGGTTGAACAATAACAGCTTATCCGGACAGTGTCCTTGGCCAAAATCCCTCAGCTTACTTTCTTTTGAGAATTATTTTTCTTTATTCAAAACTGCACAATTTTTGCTTGCATTCTGTACAAGAAAATTGCTTGTGGTTCTAATCCAGAAGCTTAACAACAACATTCAGGAGGGTGGTTGATCTCCATGCTAATCTTTTGAGCTCCTTTACCAAATCAGTTGAAGCTTCATTCGATGGGTAGGGGTGGATTCAAGCCGATCCGAGCCGAATAGTGTTATTCAAGCTCAGCTTGCCAAGGCAGTATGAGGCTCAAGCTCGAGCTCGAGCTCGAGCTCGGCTCAAGTCAAAAACTTGTAAGTTCGAGCTCGGTTCGGCTTAAGCTCGACTTGAGAAAATTGTTTTATAAAAATAAAAAAATTATATATATAAAAAATAATAATAATATTATTATTGTTATATGTATGCAAGGTTCAAAATATCAATACACTCGATACGTCGGTATGGGCGTATCGGAGGGGTCCCAGAACGATACGTATCGGTCAATATGGGCCGATACGTGTCGATACTTTGAACCTTGTATGTATGTATGTATGTATGTATGTATGTATGTATGTATGTATTTGAGCTCGGCTCGCGAGCCTCATGAGCCGAGCTTTATTAGGGTCGAGCTCGGCTCGATTAATAAACGATCCTATAAATTGGGCTCGATTTTGGCTCAAAGCTCAGTTGAAACCGAGCCAAGTCAAGCTTTTCATGAGCCAAGCTTTAATTGCTCGTGGCCACCCCTACTGATGGGGATTCGAGCGAAACATTGAAATTGGATAGGATGTGAAGACAAAAAAAAAGAGTTAGGCCTGGCTAAGAGTTGGAACCTTGGGCATGTTGCATATGTACCGGGGATTTAGTTGACACATTTCTCATTAGAATATAAAAAAAAACAAGAATGATCTGGAGCAATTCCAACCATCCAATGAGTGGGCTTATTAGAAAAGATCGTGTTTGTGGTGTTTGTGAGAGAGAACTTTGATTCTGTTTCATCTTCTTGAGGAAGAAAATGATGAACAATATATTTTATTTTCAAGGGTAATTTTGACATTTTCAAGTCTTAAATTACATATGAGGTCACATGATATATCAAACTGACAGTCCATTAACGATAGGTACTAGATTGTTATATTCCAAAAATTTAAATACTAAATTATCACATTTTAAAATTTTTGGGACCAAATTATCTCACGAACCAAAATACAGAGTACTGATAGAAAGTTTTCCTTAAAATTTATACTTAAAATACATACACCCAAAATCAGGCCCAACCTACGATCGCTCCTAATTATTAATTAACACTTAACATATATCGAGTAAAATATTGATATCCTGTTGTCACATGAGTGAGTGCCAGCCTATTTTATGCAAATACTAGTAGCAAAGCTTTGGTCTGGGCTGTTTCTCAGCTTATTGGTCGTGGATGGGGAGGGCGTTAAGGTTCTGTTGGTATTTCAATTTTTCATTACTCTTTCCCTTTTACAGGTATCAATATATCATACCTTTTCAGCATAATAGATATTGCCTCTTCCATTTTTCTCCAAAATCCCTTTAGATAATTTTTTTTTTTAATTTTTTAAATTCCATATAATCGATCACGTTCATTTTTCAGACCCTCCCACTCCCAACAAACAACTTAACAGACGAATGAAGATCACCACAATTCTAAGTTGGGAGCATTGATGCAATCGTGGTACAGTATGAAAAGCTTCATCTTATAGATTCAGAAAATAAATTACTCCAAAATACGATCACCAACCTTTCGTTTGTTGATTTTCAGAAAATGGATAGCGCCGTAGTGAAAAGGATAGCATCCAACCAATTTTACATTTTTTTGGTTAACTCCTCAGTTCGTGTTCAAGAGCAGACTACCTTCCCCGTTTTCGTTTTACTGAGAAGTTGTTAAAAAATATTGGGAGAAGATGATCTCAATCGTCTCACGTCCCAGTTTTTGTTTTTGCTTTCATCACCTCCCTGTTATAATATATAGTATCGAATGATCGATGAGATGATCTCAGTCATTTCATCTCAAAGTATGGTCCATTTCAGATTGAAAATTAAACTTAACAATAAGAAAGCAACATAATCTCTTCAAAGTTGGAGACTGATCACTGATCTAAATTTGAGCAAACAGAGCACCTTAGGTCTGACGTTATTCTCTGTTCATTTCGATTAAATCCTCCTTTCATTTTCGACGGAATTTTTCACGGCATATGGGACTTGTCATATGACTAGCATTTGGGGCAACTCAAATCATGTTGGCATTTGGCATTTATTTCTGTTCAACCAAAGTTCCTCTCAAATCACTTACATGAGACGAACTCTGATTTTTCTCGATTTGGCATTTGGCATTTGTTTCACATTTGAAACTAGTGAATGACCCCGTACTTAGTACGGGGAATTTAGTTATATATATATATATTTTATAATGATAATAACATATTAATAATTATTACAACAATTTATTAATAATTTAAGTAACAGTAGTTATCGATAATCTGGAAACTTAATTATCTAAAAAAATATATTAATTTTAAAAAAATTATTGAAATAATTTTCAATATGGTTAACTGAAATTAATTACAGCTGAAATGTTTTGTATATAGCTAATAATTATTAATTATTGTAATTATCAGTTACAAATCCCAGGAAATTATCTGTTACAGATTTTCATTTTTTTTTTCAGACAGTACATAAGATTCAGTGTTTTTAACTGAAATCAAATACCGAGTTTTTCAGGAAATAATGATAACAACTTATTAAGGGTAATTAAAAACTGAACTACAAATAGGAAAGGGTTTTTAAATATCTAGTAATTATTAATCATGGTAATTAATTACAACAATCAGGAAATTAGTAGTTATTTTAACTAACTAATAATAATTAATTTATTTTACTGAAATAATTTTAATGCATATAAGAGAGTGTTTTAAAATAGCTAATAAGTAATAATTAGTGATTAGTGTAATTAATTACAAATTTTAGGGAATTATCAGTTATTTTAAATAACTAACAATAATTAATTCTATAGAACTTACAATATTGTTGAAACATTTCAGTAATTTTTTGGAGCAAAATTAATTACACTGAATTCTGATAATTTACATAATTTTAATGCAAAATCAATTATTAGCTTATTATTTAAAAAGCATAAAAAGATAAATTGATAAAATAAAGAAAAAAATACATATACATGAACTTGAAATGGGATCGAATCTCTGGTCATCGTCATCGGCATGAAATGAAAAAGCAGGGAATGGGTGGAGGTATCATTTTTGATTAATTTTTAATAGGGGCACACTTATGAGATAAAATTTTCTCTCCCTAGGTCTTTGCAAGCAGCAGCTTTGACCATCCTATTCGTTGACTCTTCGCCGTATTGAACAGGACTTCGCTCGAGAGAGTCTGCAACTCATAGGTTGATGCATCTGAAGCTTCAAGGTCACCAGAAAGCTATTATGCGTTTCATTCGGCGCCAGAGCTTCTGCAAAAGAAAGTGAAGACTTCCATTTCTCCCTTGCCGGGAACTTCTGAAATTCCTGCCGGGCAATTGCTCTTTCTCTCTCACTGTAATTCCTATGTAATTCCAATCGAGTATCAACTGTGAGTGCGTCTATCTCTATCTCTAGTTTCGTTGCCATTCTGATATACCTTAGTGGGTTCTCTCTACTTTCGTCTGTCTGTCTGTCTCTCTACTCGAAGATAAATGAGTTTTCCTAGAATCCAACTACCCGCCTAAGTGGAACGGGTAAAGCTAGCAGGGCCACCAAGGAGATAGATACTCTGAGAATATGTCTTCTCTTAGACAAAATTCCAATAGCAAATTGAGAAGGTCGATGGAGCGAATTAGTGAGTTACTTGAAAAGAAACTGACAATAACCGACTTGCGACGTTCTTTCATGGGGTATGGGAATTTACATATTGTCATTTTTTGATGCATTGGTCTTCTTGTCAATGGACAAACTAATGGTGTAGTTATAAATTTTTTTGTACTCACTTTAGGAGTTCTCCAAATTTCTTCTTCTGTTCTTGTTGTTAATATATAGAGCTCCTACTTAACTATGACCTGCCTTCTTTCTTGTATATCCGGGTTCCTACATAAAAGTCAATCAAATGTGGAAGATGATTAGGAGGCAAAAGTTGCAATGGATGACAACGAAAGTGATGATGATCAAAGGCCAGACAGCTTGCTGTTAATGACAAAGAAAGGAAGAAGGAAATGAGAAAGGGTATTGATCTAGCCGCTACGCTGGAACGTATTTCGAAGAACTTCATAGTTACTGATTCGAGATTGCCTGATAACCCCATCGTAAGATTGCAATTCTCTGATCCCTAAGTTTGGTAAATTGTACGTAGTCGAAATACTGAACGTAACCCATCTTCCAGTAAGTGAATTCCTAATTCATACCAAACCTATTTGCCCAATTCTAACCGCTCAAAATCGCAAATATTTGCATCGGACAGCTTCTTGGAACTCACATAGTATAGTCGTGAAGAGATATTGGAAAGAAATTGCAGGTAATTCTGGCCTTCAATGCCTACATGTACTACAGAAACTTGTTAACATGTACTAAAGTATACCATTCTAGTATACCTTAGTGTATTTTCTCTACTTTTGCGAATTTGCAAGCATAGCATGTTTATCCGGATTGAACAGGGAATTGAAGAGAAAATTGAAAAAGAACAGTAATCTATAAAAAACAGAGCATGTATTACTGTGCAGAATATATATTATTTATTCTTGAGCAGTTATCAAGTTTGTTACTGCTATTAGTTAGCTGTTAGTCTGTTATACAAGTTAGTTTCTTAGTAGGTTAGCTGAGCTGGAATCATTATGTGGCAGCTTTGTATAGGTTCATTTCTTGTATAAATAGTAGTCATGCACTTTGTA